TGACGCGCCTACACTCATTTACTCTGAACTCATCCCAAGTGCCTTTCTTTCGAAGGTTTTCCCATTCCTTGTCGAGGGCAGCTTGGGCCTTTGGCGTATTGGCTACTTCGGCTTTTGGCACGAGCCTAGCAACGACTGCACTGAACAGTTCAAGGGCAACATCAAATTCAACTTTCTTGATTCGCTCTTTGACCAACTCACGCAATTGCGGGCGATGCGGCTCCTTCGATGACTTGTCACGTTCCGGAAGAACGGACATCGCAGGCGCATGCCGGATCACAGGCAATGTCGGCTCGCCCTCGCGGGCGGCGCTGGTCGGCTTTGCACTCGATGCGGCTTCGGGGTGCTCGGACCTGGCCTCCGAAGAGACTGCTGTCTCAAGCACTGCCTTCTTGGCATCTGCACGGAGCTGATCTTCGTACTGCTGGGTTAGGGCCTTTCGGTCCTGACTGCCGAGCATGACCCACATGTCAGACGGGATGTCGGGAGGCCTTTTGGATCCGGCCTTCCTACGGACGAGCTGAACCCCATCCCACACATAGCCATCAGGTACTGGTGACCCATCAGGCATTATGCTCGGGTCGAATGCACCGCCTTTGTCGGGCACGACAGGCTTGGTCTTCGCTTCGGATTTCTCCGATGCGGCGGGTTCCTCGATGTGGGCTTGCCCACGCTCCAACGGCACAGGATCATCTCGTGTCCTAGCACTGGCAACAGGTGGATGAGATGCAGGGTCTTTCAACAACCTCATCGGAAAGATGAACTCATCAGTCGGAAGCTCAATGCGCTTTGTTCGCTGTACCGTGAGGGACGCATGTTCGATATGGTAATCGAGCCCTTCTAGTTTTGCAACAAGGAACTCGCCTTTCCATGCGAACCCGGGCTGTATGTGGTACCCGAGAAACACGCCTTCATTTGATGTTGGCGAAGTCTTGCCTGCCTGATTGTCAGCTCGTGCAGGGTTGTTCCAGAACAGTATCTTTGCTCCGAAAGGTATCTCAGCTTCATCAAAGGTCTTGTTAAACCTGAGGTACCATGGCGAATCGTTTCCATTCAACTGTGGCAGGATGTTGGTCGCAACTGCATTGTGCTGGATAGCAAATGGCCACATCGACAGTGGGAACCCTGACTGAACAAGGTTCGCACGTGCTCCCTCCAACAGATGTCTGATTTCCCTTTCCACGAAAGATTTGGAAGAATCAACATATTCAATGGAGGTCTGATGACGGTACCCCAACTGCTCTATTGCGGCTTTCAATTCCCGGGAGTTATCAGTGTAGAGAACCTCAACCTCATCCCTACCGGAAATGAAATGCTGGATCCCTGCAACGGATTGCTCCGTGCTTTTGCTGGTCGACGGGTAAACGTACCTGAACTGCGTGTGCACGTCCTTGATCACAAGAGCACACCATTCACCTTTGATACCTTGCTCGATGTTCGTCTTGAGGATCACATGATCAGCGATGATGTGATCTCCAAACGCTTTCGTTTCGAGCCTTCCCTGCCCGCCTTTCGATCTCGCATATGGGGCAAGCATCTTGGCACGTTGGCAAGTGCGGCAAAAGGGATTCTTCGGATAGTGTGCAAACAAGTGCTCTTTGGTACTTGCTTCGGCAACCAGATCTTCCTCTTTGCGGGATCTCACAAACCGCTCAACTTCGTCGTCGGGATCATCACCTTCGTCGATGCCTTCGTCATGAACCGGCGCAGGCGCTGGCTTGGATGCTGCTACTGCACTCAACGATGGCTCAGCTTCACAACTAGAGTCCATGTATGGCACATGACCGTCAACCTTGAGCTGGATCAGAGCACCATCAGGGCGAATCATGGTTGGCGCCTTCCCGGATTCCCAATGAAAGGAATATCCTTGATCCAGACACTTCACACCCAGCGACAGCACTGCGGGAGAACTCTCGAGGATGTAAGGCTGAGCAGGCTCACACAATGCATCGACATTGATGTCGGCGATTTCGGAAGCAGTAATGTTTCCGTTTGCAGTCACAAGGCGAATGGGCTGCGGGGCCTGTTTTCGGATTGCCTTGGACGCATTCCTCAGTGCAGCTTTGCTGATGAGGTCCTGCTCACTACCGGAATCAATGAGCCACACGTCCTTTCCCTTTGGTGCAGGGGTGGCTGCCCTTGGCGCTTCGACATCCTTGCGAACATCGTGAGGCGGCATGGCAACTCTCAGGCACTCATCACACGATAGGCTTGAGATGGAATCGGATTCCACATCGCACATGAAACCACAAGCGGGCTGGGCTCCATTCTCCATGGCTTTGACTACGGCATTCAACTGGTTCGCGGCCTTGCGCGCTGCCTTGTTAGTCCCTTTGGTCGGCCTGGGGCAGTCCTTAGCACTTGGAAACATCCTATTGTACTGCCGTTCCTCATACTCAAGCTTAAAACCATCGCCTTCGGCGGGGATCTCATGCACGTGAGCATTGGTGTCGAATGACACTCCGATTGGATCGATCGGTTTTGCGAACATGGCGTACCTGGTGCAGACCGCAGCGGCTTTGGCCTTGGGCTTAGGCTTAGGTGAATTTGCACGCTTCTTAGCCGCAGGATTTGCATTGGCTCGCTGCTCGATGCCGCGGCGGCAGACTTGCCGCCCGTGGAGGCATGGCTAAACTTGCATTTGTCACCTCTAGTGCACTTCCCTTGGGCAAAGAAAGAACACGGTGCTTTCTCTCCTTTACCGCCTTTGGGGGAACTTGGCCTGCCACGGGTCGCGGAGCGTCCTCGCGGCTCCTTGCGGTGCGCGTAAGGGCAGTTTGCCCCCCTCGTGCACGAGCCCTTCTGGAAGTCAAAGCAGTACTTCTCCTCGGTGTCCTTCGGCTTAGGTGCGCTCTTTTTCTTGGGGTCCCTCTTTTCAGGGGCGGCAGCACCAGCCTTGGGCGTCGGGGCTTTACTGGCATTGACCTTGGACACGCGCTCTCGGTTCTCGCGGAGCCTATCCCTCTCGATTAGATCCCTCATGCAACGCATTAGGAAATCGTACGATTTGTTGGGATCATCATCACGGCAACGATCATATGTGTCAATGTCATACCGCAACAGATGGCAGCTTCTCACTTGGCGAAGCAAGATGTCTTTCAACACCTTCTCTTCCGGCGGCCTTTTCATGCCGGCGATCACGGAATCCCAAGCGTTCAGAAAACGCTTGAGATCAATGATTCCTTCGCCGTGTCGCGAGACACGCAACAGATCCTCCAAGGAGTAGAGGTTTCCGGCTTCTTCACTGGTCTTGAAATATTGGTCAAACATAAACAAGACCTGCCTTCCTCTCATGGCCTTTCCCTCCTTGGCACATTCTTCCTTTGCTGTTAGGATTCGCTGAGCCAGATCGCCTTTCGCTGAACGCGTGAGCGCTGCGAGAATCTTCGTGTCTAGGGTCACGAATTTTCCCGGTTCGCCGAGCTCCTCCAACAGCTTCTTCTTGTCCTCGCGATCGGACCAGACTTCCATGATCCAAGGCCAAGCCTCGTCTGGACGGTCAGATGCAGCGCGGACATCCTCACGAACCGATGTTTTCCATTCACGGTACGTTTCAGGAGTTGGCATCTCCTTGAATCGCAACGTCTCGCTTTCGCGGGTTCTGGGCTTTTCATCGTTCGTTTGGCCTTTTACTAGTTTCATCAACATCTTGGCGAATGCTTCATTGCCGAGGTTAGGCCCGAGGCCGTCACCTTCGTCTTCATCACCATCGCCATCGCCATCATCATCAGGTGGCGGACCGCCAGGAGGTTTACCACCCTGCTTGCGGTCAGTTGACATTGGCCCCTGGGAGAATTGCAGGGGTGGAACCGGTGCACTTGTTTTCACCGGGGATCGGCTGCTACCTGATGGCTTTTCAGCTGGTCCTTGCGGATCGCGAGCATCTGCGGGCAGTGCTTCGCATTCGGCAGTTGGAATCACGCTGGGGGTATATTCATCCCCGTAACCGTCATAGGTAACAAGCGACCTCAACTTTTCCTTTGCATATTGAAACGGATGGGTAAGCGGGTCCAACATTGACCTTTGGGACCGAGCCGACTTCATGTCATCGGTCATCAACTCTGGTGAATCCTCTCGGGTATCACCTACCCCTTTGGGCTTCGATCCATCCTCGCGGAGGTCGTGTTGCTTCTGATACTTCTTCAGCTCATCGAGCTCGTCCTGCAGAAGCCCGTTTTGGTGGGCCATCATGTCAACCGTTCTGGCGTGCGTCGCCTCAACACGGGCTGTGTCATCGGCATGCTTGGCAGCTTGCTCATGAAGGAGCTGCTGGGCTTCCGCCAGGGTGGATTCGATGGCTTGCCTAAACTCAGTTGTTTTGCGTCCCATTTCCGCTTCATGCAATGCTTGGGCATTTTCCTCACACACTTGGCTTATCCTAGCTTCAGCGAAGTTCACTTCTTGAATGAACTCATCGCTCACTCGCTGTTCGTATTCACGAATCCTATGCGACTGGGCTTGCACACATTCAGCGTAGTGTGCATGCAGCTGATTTTGTGCGGCACGGAGCTCCTCACGGTTTTCCGCTTGCAAATGCGTAACAGCTGCTTGATGCAGAGCTTCGGCTTCAGACCTAATGGCTGCATCATTCCCAAAAGCAAAGATTGCGGTATTGTACAGTTGAAGGGAATTCATCAGGGTGCGGTTGTATTGCGCATTAGCGCTTGATGCGAACATTCGCACACCGCCGCCGGTGGCGTTGCCGGAGCTAGCTCCGGCAGCATCCACAGGCATGCTGGATCCATCAACTGGCACAAGGGAACCGTCCATTGCTTAGAGCTAGGGGCCTACGGCTGATAACCTATAGATTCAAGGGTTACCGGTTTGGGGCCCAAAAGGAAACAACAAACCGTCCAAGTGCGCTGCTCGCACATTTTACGCTTGAACAGCCACACTGCGGATGCAATGGATGTAAAACCCCATACTGACCGATCAAATTCTTCAAACATGACATCATACACATGAACATGGCACGTGCGCCTTTCAACTTGGGAAGCGGCGTCTTCCAGAGTCAACCACGCGAGGGCCAATAATAGCGCCGATGCCAGCCATCTGCAGCCAGGGAATGCTCTGCATGCTGATTGAAGTTGATCACGGATTTTCCAGTACACGCCACGCAAACCTCCCATCCCTCCCCGAATACTCATACTATCCACAATCTTCAACAATGAAAGAGTTGCTGATGAGCACCCGGGCTATGCCTTGGGATGCCGAAAAGCCCTTGGTCGCCAGGAACATGTCCTTTGACTGCTGAAGTGCCACCGGCATGTTGGGCAACAGCGGCACCTTTTCCAGGCCGGAACTCGGTGATCGCTCCACGCAGAATGAGCATGCAGGCCCCGCTTTGCGAAGTGCCAGAAAGTATGCGCCAGCGAGTCGGGACATTTGTTGCCCACAACGCCACTCTTCCGCTGTGCATAAGCGTATGACTTTGCATACAGGGGGCCGTAGCATGTTTGGCCCTCACCCCTTGGACCTGCTTCAACGCCCAGCCATAATGCGCTATTCCTCGGTTTAAGAAAGCCATGGCATGCTCAAGAATCATGGCAATTCGGCGCAGGTTCGAAACGAACGCCGAAGCCCTGCTCACATCGTCTACTCGCTTTCGCTCGAAGTCCTAGTTTGCAGGTGTATCACACGAAGGTAATCTTCAGCATCATCGCAGGTGATGCCGTTGATAACAACTTGCAGTCGGTCTTTGAAATCCGACTTCCTGGAGAGCAAAATGGAAATGGCCATCAATGGCCGCTGGACCTGCCTCAATGCCTCCAGCCTGAATGGGGGCATGGCCTCTGCCTCTGCCAAAACGGCTGCCAAGCCCTCGGGCAGGTTGCCGCCACCACCCGCCAGCAGCATGGCTTCCAGGCACCGGTGCTCCTCTTCGGAGACTTGAACCTGGGCGCGCGCGTTTTTGGCTTCCGTGAAGTGCTGCCAGATCTCATCGAAGAACTGCCCCCGCGGCCGGTCTTGCTCGTTTATCACCAGGCCGCTGGACATGCGCAGCTCCCCTGAAGAGGACCTCTCGATGGTGTCCAGCAAGGTGCGCGCAGGCAGCCCCAAACAAAGCTCCGCAGGGAGCTCTGAGACCCAGTCTCGGGAGAACCAGCCATTCTCAATAGCCCCTCGCCCAATGACAATCATTTGCCGCGCCAGCGAACGCCAGGCCTCGTCCACTTCGTCAGAGCCAAGCCCAAGCTGTCGGGCGATTTCTTGGAGGGCAAAGTCCCAGGAACCGTCTGCTAAACCGACATCGAGACGTGGCAGGCAAGAGAGCCTGCTGCAACGGCCTGCCTCGCTGCCCCTCATGGCACCCGCCAACTCGTCAAGAGTTGCCCTGTACTCCGAAAAGTCTTGGCAAATCATCATGTTCGTACCTACGTCGAAGGCCCAGCACACTTGGACACATGCTGTGAGCCCCTGCTTCAAAGCCAGGCATGTGGATCCATAGCGCCTTCTACCGCCGGCATACCGCAACCAGCCAGAAGTGATATAGGCAGGGTAAATGGTGGAGGCCAACAGCTCAATCACCATGAGTATGCCAACGCCAAGGACTGCCAAACAGGTGCCTAACAGTACCGCAACAATCCACGCGGCCAGGATGATGGGAAACCAAGCCCAAAGGCAGCAAACCTGCGATTCTGAGTCTGAGTCAGAGCTGGATGGGCTCTCTGCATCTCGCCGTTGGCAGCAGCCAACAAGCTCCAGCCATGATTGTACAAACCACGCCCAAGCGCGACAAAACAACACCACAATCAACAACGGAGCTTTTAAAAGGCTGCACACAGCCGTCAACAAGCCTGCTGTGCAAAGGCTGCACACGCCGACAACTAGCCCCAGCAGCATTTGCCAGCAGGTGATGTCCTGCACGTCAGGCTCAAGAGTTTGCTGATGCTCGATAAAGGAAGTCTTTGCCCCTATCAGCCGCCCCCAGACGAATGCAACCAGTGCCACAGGGCCCAGGGTCACGCAGGCAAGCCCGACCACCCTTACCGAGACCCAAAGGAGGGCCATCAGCAAAGCTGAGAGTATGGGGTATAAGGGGATGCCGAGAAGAACGATAAACACGCTGCTCATGGACTTTCGTGCTCGCCCCACTTGTGCAAGAGACCAAACCATACAGAGGGCTGAATAAAGAATGACGGGCATCAAGACAATGGCAGCTGCACAAGTGGTGAGGAATCCAAATGGGCAAGCATCTGGCAAAGCATCCACCATAAGGTACGCAGCCCAAAACTTTTGCCAAAGCCATCCCATTTCTGCACCGGCCATGCTTTCCACCTTGAGCATCTTAGCAGCTTGCATAGCAAACGGCATCAACATGCTCATGGATGTTGCACCACTGCACATGACTTGTGTGTCACCCGACATCAAAACATTGCAACAGCTGCCCTTTCTGCCTTTGGTCAAGTAGTCATGTGTTTGCCTGTGTGAAGGAACAGGAACTGGCGAAAGCTCTCCCACTGCGCCTGTCACGCGCCCTGACCTGCACCATGTACAGAATGACTTGCTGATGCAACAACCGACAGCTCCAGAGTGGCTACAGCAAGCCATTGCACACTGCATTTCAATGCGCTGCGCCCAGTCGCAGCCTAGCGGCCAAAACCAGCTCCGCCCAATTGGCCTAGCCGCCAGTGGTTTTAGTTTTGGGACACCAACGCGGTTGGCCCTTGGCTAGGCAACTGCCAACAAGCACTTCTCACCGCTCCAAACTCTGAGATGAAGCCGGCTGACTGATGAGGTTTGTTGAAAACAAAAAGCCGAAGTACGCAGCCCACCTTGCAACAGATGCGCGCAAACATGTGGCAAATCACAAGGCTCGCTCTCATTTTTCGTCTCTGTCACTTGAGCAGCGCATCCAGCTTTGGCATGTCTGGGTCCTGCAACTCGGCCTCCAACTCTGGATCCAGCTCCATATCTTTACTCCTGAGCCCATGCATCCACCAGAGCTATCTTTTCAAACAGCATGACATTAGCACTGACATTAGGGTTCCCTACTTCCCCAGCAGCGAACATTGGCACACTCTGAAAAACAACCTACGTAGGATTCGCTTCAATGCTGATGCTCAACTCCGGTGGTCACACAATGCATTAAGGCGTGTGCGCTACTCGCAGAATAAACCCGCCTGGCCTCGAGACATCTGCTTGGGCTTGGCTTGGCTCTGCCAGCGCGGGTCGTTCAAGCCGCAAGAAGTCGGTGGAGACAATGTAGCGCACGCACTGCAAAATGGCGGAATAGTACCTCCAAACAGCATGAACCAACCTCGAATACGACTGATGGGGGGCACAACATGCCCAGCTGGAATGACTATATAGCATCCCCAAACCCTAGCTTCTGACAATGCAACCTTTGCCCTTTGCTTCTGTCGAAAACTAAATGCTCACGACCGCCTGAGTTTTTGCAAACAAACTAAAGTCAAAGCGACTCATCTCTCTCTCTCTCTCTCTCTCTCTCTCTCTCTCTTGCGCTTCCGATGTCCGACCTCTCCATGTCCGGGCGCAGTAGGCGCCGCAGCAAGCCGTCGCGACGCTCCCGGGGCTCTGGGAAGTTGTAGGCCGCCACGTGTGTGGCCCGCAGCCGGGCGGTACGCAAGGACCCGAAGGTGCCCCCCGCGGGGCCCTCGCCTCGCGGGAGAGGGCCACATCACTTCGCTCAGCCGAAGTAAAAGGACCCGGACAGAAAAGGCGATCACCTTTTGGGACCTCACCTAAAATGGAACAGGGGGAACCCCAAGGTTAAAAGGTTGGCTTGGGACAACTGAGTATACCTGGTGACTGGGTTTTAGTGGGTCTTGGATGCTACATTCGTTGGTGCAAGCTGTCCTTTTGCTAGTTCACTTTCGGGTCGGATAGCCGGTTGCTGCTCACCTTGCTTCAAGTGTCCTTGGCATTGCATGATGCTTTCTGAATTCTCAAAGGCATACCAACCACAGCTGGGTCATGTGAGGGGCATGTAGGGCCGACACCAGCGGCCCAGTCGCTACAGTATCTTCTTTGCGCGTCAAGTCTCCTTTGTTTCGGCCTCTGTGACGGTCTTTTTGTCGCTTTCACTTTCCAACTTTGCAGCAGGTGAATGTGAATTTGGTGCCTTGCGGTGTTCAGCTTACCTCATGATAACCTTCCAAGGAAGCATTGGGGCGGGGGGGGGGGGGAGGCCAGCCTGGTCTGCCAGCGCGGTTGGCTAGTGTGGACGGCAAAATCCACCACGCAGTGCTGCTCAAGTCCTGTGGCCAGGGAAGACGATAGCAAGCTTCGACAGAAACAAACATTCGCACATGTTGGCAAAGGCTGAATTGATGTGGCTCTGGGTCAAAACCCTGTACCCCTGGCGAACATCAAAATAGGTAGTACATGGGTGTTCATCCGACCCAAAATGGAGGCATAGGTTACGACCCATGGCCATGTCGTCAGGTCCTGTGCCGCTGAAGTGCCCACGTGCTCGTACTGACAGTTGGCCCCATGGTAGCAGAAGCCACGCTCAAAGAAGCGGCAAGGTCCCCACTTCGGGGTTGCTGTCTGACCTGTCTGCACAGGCGCCGTGTGCGACCTGCAGCTTGCGAACGGTGCCTCTAGTGGAACACAGTTCGCCACCACTGAAGGAAGTGGCACGCTGTATGTAGGATGAACTTCAGGTTCTTCATCAGGGGTCCAGCTCCACTTGGCCTTTCCCTTACCTTTCTTGCCATACTTCCCTTTGCTCCAGTCTTTGCCCTTGCCCTTGCCTTTGTCCTTGCCTTTCTCTTTGCCCTTTCCATCCTTGCCTTTGAACTTCCCTTTGCCCTTGTCCTTGCCCTTTTTTCCAAAACCTTTGCCGAAGAAGCCCTTACCCTTCTCCACCCCGTGGGTGCGGCGAAGCAGCTTCTCCAGCATGCTTACCTTGGGGGGGTCTGCGAGCGCTCCTGACATGCGGCGCTTCTCCTCTAGCTCCGCCTTCCTCTGCAAGTTGCCTTTGCAAGGGTAGTTGTTCCTCCGCATTTCCTTCCAAGCGGCCACCTCTTCCGGGGAGTCTGTGACGCTGGCCCCGTCCGCAGCCTTCACGTGCTTCAGCTTGTGGACGGCCATGACGTGCTCCGGGCCAGAGAAGGTGCAACCATCTTCTGGGCAGGGGAGATGATCATCTTGCACATGCGTGTCGTACTTCTCCTGGTTCCACAAGTCCTTGTTGCACACATTGCAGAACCATGGGCTGTTTCCTCCCATCTTTCTCCAGGAATTACGGGACATGGCCTTTCCCCAACCTTTCGGCACATGTGGGGGAGGAGGAAATGTGCGGTCAGTGGGGCCAATGGGTGCTGGTGGCGGAGGGGGCAAGTTGCTTGGCTCTTCCTCTTCTTCCTCCTCTGAGTAATGTGCCTCCTGCCGGTCGTCTTCCCAGTAGTCATCCCAGCTTTCGTAATCATAGCTTCCTGAGGTGTTTCGCCGAGAATTACGAGATAGGCCTTTTCCCCAACCTTTCGGCACTTCCGGAGGAGGTGGAAATGCAAAGTCAGCGGGGCCACCGGGTGCCGGTGGTGGAGGGAGGAAATTGCTTGGCTCAGTGTCCTCCTCCTCCTCTGAATAGCGCGAGTACTGTGCATGTGGCTCATAGCGATGTGCTTCCCGATCAACTTTCTGGTAGTCATCCCAGGACTCATAGTCCCAACTGTCATAATGGTCCTGCTCCTCGTGCCAGTTGTCGACCTTCGGTGGCAAAGGTGGGGGAGGCAATCTCTCGAGTGGCGCGGGTGGTGGCTCAGGCAGGCGCTGCCGTTTGGCCCGATCTGGGTCAGGTGTTTCGGCCCCGCGTCCGTGCTTCTTTGGCGGCGGCGGTGGCGGGAGCACAGGCTGCGTGCTTGCATGGTGCGGGCTTGTGTTGCGTGCACTGGTGCTGGCTGTGCTTGGAAGAGATGGCGGGGCTGGTGGCTCGGGAAGCTTCTTCGACTTGCTCTCGTCCACACGTGCGTCCCTGGGGTTCCTGCGAGGCAACTGTCGCACTTCCGAGGTGCTACGACTTCTGGCCAACGCTGTGGACGCTTCAGGCTTTTGGCCGCGCACAGAAGCTGCGGGGGAGTCGACCTGGCTCCGCCTTGGCGCCACTTCAGGTTTCCTGAGCGTGGACGCAGGGTTGGGCTTTGCATCGAAGCCTGCCTCGGCCAGAAACTCCCGAACCTTCTCCAAGGTTGACCCAGACTGCCGTGCTCCACTCCGTGGTGGCGGCGGAGGTGGCAAGGAGCCACCCCGGTACACAGGTCTCCTCCGGTCCGACCTATCTGCCATGGCGTCAGCACCTCTGATCCATTTCCAATTGAGAGATTTGCAAAGCTTGGCAGCCAGGTGTGCTGCGATTGGGTATCAATCCAATGACATCCGGGCTCCCACTAAGTTCAAATGTGGTCAGGATGCGTGCAATCCCAGGTAGGTGCGCAGGTGCAACGAGAACAATATCTCCATGAATATCTGTTTCTCAAGTCGTGGCACCTAGCCTGAATTGGCTTGGAGCAAAATGTGCCAGCGTCACGTTGGCCAAGCGAGCACGCACAGTTCAGTGCTCAAGCAGGTCCTTTTGCCAGCCCCAGAATGATTAGACAAGACATGGAGGCGCAAACGTGGTTTCAAATTCGACTCAATGGTCAGTGTGGCTGCACCCGCCTCCCATACCTCATGGCTTCATGACTGCAAAGGAGCGCTGGAGCCGGACAGTGCCACAACGGGGACAAGCATGCGTGCCTTGGTCAAAACTGTTGTGGGCCATGGTTATGGCTTCCTTGATAGGAACCCTTTCTAATTTCCCATTAAGAGGTAAATGACCATCCTTGCCGACCAAGTAAAATGGTGGTTTGAACATGGGTTTGCGACTCAAGGCATCGAGACTGGGTCGCGCCTCGCTCCATGCGTTTCGCCTCGAGCGTTCAGGTCTGAGCCTGTTCGCCAAGACCTCCCAATCGCCTGAGGGCTTAACCCAGGCAAGCTGAGTGGTGCTTTCGCACATATCTGGCTAAACTGCACACGCGCACTCATGGCAGCTGCCGCGTTTGGGTTGCCATGAGTGAAAAGCAGCGACACAAACAGGTCGGGTGCCTGTTCGGCCCTTTACCAGACCGCTTCTAGAGCAGATTGCATTCAGGATGTCCCTGTGCAGCCTGTGGGTGGAATCAAACGATGAACCAATGGACACCCTGGTGCCGAATTAGTGAAACTTGGATCGAACTAAGCCTAAAGACAAGGCTTCCTTGCCGTGCTTGGCTGAGAAGTCACTTGCCCGCTCAAAAATTCCGGTCTAGGCCCAAGGGCCTGCCAAATGGCACTAATGACACTCACTCGCGAAACTTCTCAGCGCAAGGTCATTGATCCACTCTTCTCCGAATCCCGCACCATCAGGGCTTGCAGGAGCCTAAGGGCCAGGACACCCCTCTCCCTGCTCAAGCCGGTAGGCCAGATGTCACATGCCAAATCATGTTTTCTTTTGAGTGGAGGGGGCCTCTGAACATGGGCTGTGCAGGAAAAGACAGGCAGCAGGCAAGTCATGACTGGACAAGGGTCCATCTTGGAAGGATTGGTCACACCAACGTAAAAGATGCCAGCAGGAACCACCATAATTGACATGAGGTCTGCGCAAGACTGAGTAGGATCACAGGAAGACCTTCTGAAACCTCTCTTGATCAACTAATCTCAGTCCTGAAACTTGTTTAGTAGCGGCGACACGCAAAGTGCCATGGCGATTGCATCTAAGGCTGTAGCTCGAAATAAGAGAAGCTCCCGTCCTCTTCACCAAGCGACTCCTTAAGTCACATGATGCTGCATGTCACGCATCACATCAAATTGTCAGGCACGTCTCAACTTTGGCTACTTGCTCTTGACGAATGGTTCTTGGCATGGGGTAACCTCAAACATGTTGGCTTCCATTTGGTGTCAGCCGGACCCCCCAAACCACCCCAGAGCCAAGTTGGGCCAATCGACCCCTTGGCTTTCAGCTGTTGGGAGGAACATCACAAGCGTCCCTAAAATCAACGCCAATTGATAGGGCATGGGCCATGCAGCTGAGCCTCTGCCAATCCATCGATCTGGACATCGGTAAAGGTTCTTCGAGTCTTGGCAAGCGAGATGTCAATGCCTCTCAGCACCTGAAGTCTGGGTCTGTGGCTCAGGAGCACCCCCCCCTCCAGCTTCAACTGGCGCTAGCCAGTGCCCGTAGTCGTGCGGCCTATAATATCGAGTTTTATTGCCCAAAGCAAATATAATTAGAAGAGGGCCACCCGAAAGCATCTTCAGCGCGCGGCGCTGCGGCAAGTTCTCTTAGCAAGTTCCTCTGAACAATTTATCCTTGCAAGTTCTTGGCACAAGTTCTCTGCTGTGTGCAGCGCTGACCACAACACAGCAGCATTTCGACACGAGTACACTTGTCGATCCGGACCTGCGACGTGCACTTCGCGGGATTAGTTTTTGCGGTCTTCCAGCCGGAGCCTTCTGAAAGTGTACTTTGCGTACTACTTTTGCCCTGACAAGTTGCAACTTTGCAGCTGGGACTCAAAAACGTACTTCCCGCACTACTTTCGTAGTTCAAATTGCGATTTTCCCGGCGGAGCTGCGAAGTGTATTTCGCATACTACTTTCGTGCTTTCAAAGTTGTGATTTTCCAGCTTGAGCTGTGCAAGTGCACTTCGCGAAATACTGTCGCACTACTGACACCCAACTTAGACGCCGCGGAGGCAAAGCATGGTTCGAGCTTGGGGCCGCTCGTTTCCAAGAGAAAGCGCGCGAACCACGAGACAAACTTCCAAGCCTGCGTTCGACTAGAAAGCGTAGCGTTTTTACTAGCATTTTGTGCGATCAACCACGTCAATCCCTGCAGGTTGTGCGCGAACCGCAAGGAGTAGAAACCTTCCTCAATTTTTGGGCATCGACCACCATTCAAATTTGGAGAGTCCTATTTGCTACTGCGACTTGCTGTTGCTTCTTGCTATTCTTGCTAGTGCAACTCCTCCTTGCTACTGCTGCTTCTGCTGAGATCCAGCAAATCACAAGCTCTCTCAGTTGGTAAGCGGTATCATCCCTGATTGCCAAAACTCAAATGTGCTTTCAAAGGTCCGGGAATGCACCTGGTCAAAACTGCGAAACTTGATGTTGCTTGTGCTACAACGTTGCTCCTAACAAAATCTTCGACCCTGACCAACTGATCAGCAGGTGTGGCCCCACACGATTTCTGACATGTGAGCAGCCTCTGCAAAGGCAGCGCTGCGAATCCGTCCAGAGAGCTCTGGATCAGCCTGGCATGTTCGACGCTGGAGAGCGCAGGCGGAACCACCACACCAGGCAAATGAGTGCGACTTGAGCTGTGCCAGCACTTGAACCTCCTCTGTGTAAAACATGGGGTGCGGAATGGTGCGGATCATGGATGTTTGTCGAGCTCTCCTGCATCCAAACACCTCACCTATGGGCAAAGCTTGATTAGACACGAGCGCGCCATGGCCCGCATTGACCCATGCCACCCAATGTCGACAAAAGCTATCTCCGGCTGGAGCCTCGTGGCAGCCACACGCCACCGCGTGCCTGTTGCGGAACCTCAGGCGCGGGATATGCACCCGAAGGCATGCGCACCACACAGGACAAAGGGCAAAAAGCTCAGGATGTGCTCGCACATGAACTCTTCGGCGGCATCAAAGTCCTGGCGTTTGAGGATTTCCGGCTTTGCCTTGGCCAAAGGGCCAGGCAACCCTCAACTAATAGATCGTTCAACCGATGCATTTGTTTTGTTTCCGCGCGGGGACATTCTTGAACAAACCCTTGCGAGAAGCAGCATCCCAACACGCACGAGGCCTAATCAAGCTACTAAGCTATCAGCGAAGGAGTCCAAACCTTTAATTGCCGCACCCAAGCAAGGCACCAGTGACACAGTGGCCTTTAGAGGTACGTCGGGCTCTTCAGTGTCCACCCCCAAGCTTTACTACCTGCCCTGAATCGATTGAAGTCTCACATTTCTCATCAATCCAAGGCCTGGCCAGATGGCCGCTCCACGACGAAGGCCTGCCAGGGAGACAAATTGTCTGTCGGTTCCTGAGTTCACGATACGAATTGTTGGCTGGTCAACTGGTTCAACCTGCCAGTTCACCGCAAACCTTCCGAGCGCCCTGCCTCAAGAAAGCTGAAGAGGTTCACCTGAGCGGCAATGGCACCCAGCGCCCAATGGCAGCGGAAACCCTCCCGCAGCCCGCGGTTGCCTTGCCGGTCTCGCGGCCGCTGAGCTGGTCCAGCTGCAGGGCGAGCTCATGAAGGTCATCATCGCCTAGTGGGGCCATATGAAGTCTTGGCTCACGTTGGGACAAATAAAGAAACTCAGAGATGGCCAAAGAGTATTTTGATTGGATCAATTTAAGAGGCAGAGGGCCAGGGATGGGCGCTGGAGGTACCGATGCAAGGTGGAGCGAAGAGCCGACAGATTCGCACTTGTTCCCCCTTGTGGGGCAAGGGGCAACCAAAATCAAAACGGAAAAGCATGCCGGCGGTACCAATAGGATGCCCTTTGTGCATGACACCTTCAATGCCATCCACTCCTGCCATGGCACCATATTCAGGCAAGCTCGGTGATGCACAAACATGCCAACGGCCGCAACCAAGGCAACCGGCGTCCTTTTAGATACTCCACCAGCTCTTGCCGAGTGAGCAAGCCATCTCCGGTCTCGTCGCCAGTCTCAAACTGGTGCGCCCTCAGCTTCATGCAGCTTTTTGGCCTGCTCTGCCCTTCTGCTTCAAGGGATGCATTTTGGCGGCATGAGCTCTTCCAACTTTTGAAAGCCGCCGCCCTTGCTGATGTTTGTTGGGCTCTTGATGTAGCTACTGATGAAAAAACAGGGATCCTTGAAGTGGTCATGTATCCTGTCCCCATGCTCTTGCGCCGCGGAGCAGTCGCTGAACCTGGAAGACAGTCTTCCTGGAATGTGTGCTGGCGCCAGTCTTGACCTCAGCTTGAAATATCTGCAGGAAGCGACTTTCAGGGGCAAAGCCCCCGTACTAAAACTGCCCGGCCGTCTTCTTGCAATGGGTATGGCTGACCCCTGAGCCCCCCCTCCCCCCAACCCAAAAGAAAAAAGTCCGCCCGGAATGAATCAACCTTGGCAATGTGGCAACTGGCACTTCCTGCGATACCAAAGTGACCATCCCCATGACTACCTTCTCACTTTAGAGGATTCCCCCTTGCTACAGAAAGTGGTGACCTAAAAGCGCCCCCCACCCCCGAGAATGAATCCACAGTTCGCCAGGCCGCACGCATCATCCCCGATGAGCTGGCGCGGTCCTTCTTGAGCAAGAGGTAGCCCAAGTGCCGCAAGGTATCTCGCCAGTCCGCCAACGCATCGTCGCCTCGGGAGGCGAAGAAGGCAAAGAGGGCACACGCGTGTGGCTGAGCTGTCCATTGTCAGATCCCCTGCGAAAAGTGCTTGTGCCCTCAAATCGCTGCGCCTGTCATGGCCTTTGCCTGCCGGTAGATGACCTGAGAGGCGTGATGGCTTCTCGACAGGGAGCTATAGACGGCACCCTTGTTGAATGCATTTGGATGCAAAGCATTCTCAAATCACATGACCCAAAAACCAGTGGCAAGAGTCTGCAAATGTTAACCCCCCGAGCCCTGCTGCTCAGCCACTGTAAAGCGCTCAAAGAACTCGTGGACACCCAGCTCTATCTCATCTGACAGGGGTATAATGTTGTGGAAGTACTTTCCATCTTCGCATCTACAACACCGGGCAGATTTCATAATTCAGAATAGGTTGGTGTTCAGCATGGCTTCATGGTTGATCTGGGCCGGGTTTACGGTTGCTTGATCTAGCAGGCTTAGGACTGGCCAGCGATTAGAGGGCTTGCTTTGGGCTAGCTTGGTGTTGATATAGGCGAAGAATAGGACGGGTTTACAGGATTCAGGGCTGGTTTCGAGAGCCTGTTTAGTGAACGATGTCCTCAATTTCATGCTGCGGCAGTCTTGGTAATGCAAGTGGTGTAGTCAGCGCTGATTATGCAGAACTTGCCCTAGGCAGTGTCTTGGCGATGCTCATGTCGTATTTGGATGGAGAGGATGGTTGATGCTGGTGATACAAGTCATGGGTATGCAGGGGAGCTTGCAACCACCGGTTCGACGAAGCCCTTGAACAACGATTTTCAACTTGTTGGGAGTTTCCCGCCTTCCTCCGGAGGAAAAAGGCCATGTGCCAGCGACTGCAGCTGAGAAGTGCTTAGCATCTGCTGTGCGTTCCGCCGCGGGCTCTGCTGCGGACTGTCATCCTCAGAAATGCCATGCCGTCCATTTCCAAACGTGATAGAACAGAGTTTGACATGGGCCTGCGAACAGGCGCTCATTTTCACAAGTTGCAGGCCAGTTGCTTTGGTCACCTCGTTTTGCAGCACTTTCCTGAGCAGGTTGACATCAGTTGGACGGGCAACATGCACACTCCATGCAAACTTCTTCAGCCCGTCGCCCTGGCTGTCTGCGCCAAGCGGCAAAAAGTTCTGCACGCTGACTTTGCCAGTCTGCTCTGGGTCAAACAAGGCCAACGTTGCTTTCCTGAGTCTGTCACCGTCGCGTCAGAATATTGCCATTGCCTCCTACAACCTATCTTCCGCAAGTATCTCCTGTCCAAATTTGCCTCCGAAGCCCGGTCAGGACCTCGATTTTGTCGTCCAACTCTTGAGGGCTCAGGTTCGCTGGTCAAATCCAAACTGGTGGAAGTCCGGTCAAACTTCTCTCAGAAACCAATCAAATTCAAGCAACAACTTGTCCAACTCCCCGTAAAAGGCCAAGTTCCCCTAGATCCGGTCACATTCCCGAGTAGAAGCTTGTCGAATCCTCGCTAGAAGCCGGTCAAATTGTGTCTAGAAACCTGTCAAATCTACCCTAGACACCGGACAAATCGACCCTAGAAGCCGTTAGAAATCGGTCAAATTGCCCCAACCAAATTGCCCCTAGAAAGCCCTGCATCTTGGGAACCAGCTCACGCTCAAAACAAACACAACGCTTCAAGGCAAACAAAAACACAGGTCAGCCAAAAGCATACTAGCCGAGGCGGGCAACACGAAGCCAACACATTAACAAAAGAATTCACTTGCGTGTTTCCTTCTGTTTGCGGGGGCATCTTCTCGGTTGCGGCCCTGAAACTGCAAGAGACAAATACGGCCCAGGACAAAGGGCTCAGGAACAAAATCGCCGCCGACTCCTCCGCCAATTTTGTTAAAGGATTTTCAAATGGACGTCATGTCTCCTGATCTTGCAGGCCTCTGCTCTCCAATCGCCATTGCGAACAAGTGTCAAGTCTGCATCGCGACCTTGGTGTGAGAGCAACCCTGCCGAGGCCACAAAATGGGGGTCAGAACCTCTTCCAAGCGGTCAGAAACTGGTCGTGCAGGAGACAACCAGGATACATAACCACGCCCAAAACCAACAGGATGGTATGGCGTGTGGGTGGGTGTATGCTCATGTATGTCCATTTCATGTATGTAAGAGGGACCTTAGATGCCTCGATGTGGTACAACATGCGCAGGCGCTCAGCATCATGCGAGGCTTGGCGTAACCTTGTCTCTTGAACTTGGAATTGGCATTGGCCATGGCATTGAACAGTACGAGGCACGTGCCGTGGGCTCCTTGCAATGGTCTTTGCCAACATGGGCCGACCATGACAATTCGTGCCATAAAGCCGAGAAGCAGTACAAGGCCTCGTAGGCATCCTTCATCAGAATAGTTTTCCAACCAACCTGGGCAAGGAATCAAGCTAGAGACATGCGGGAACAAAGCGCTTCTGCACAGGTTAGTTCCTGACGCTTCTTGGTGGCTTGCGCTCATGTCGATAATGCTGTCTCATGTTGCCTTCTGTAGCGCTAACGGTGACTGGAGAGGTCTTCCATTCTTGATGTGTGCTTCCCCCCCGCCCCTTTTATTCCAACAACGGCAATCCATCTAATTGGGAACAGTTGTCGATGGAGATCATCTACAACAATGTAACCCTTTTGGCCTTACTCTGCCTTGTGAGGCGGCCATGATTCCCCGAAGGCTATCCGAATGGAAGGAGAACTGGCCAAAAAGCGGCACAGCACGCTCACTCAAAGAAGATGCAATGATGCAGAGGTGCTGAAACAAGGTAGCCATGTCAACCATGCCTGGGCAGCTGCTGAGGCTGCTAGTGAATCCCGGAACCGGGAACCGCAAACCTTATCAGTCTGAGCACCCACTTCTCCTTGTTGACTGCCACTTCGAAGCGTCGAAGGAAGCGGACATAGTCGACATCCCTTTGGCCTGTGGGCCAAAACAAAAGCAACTCTGAGAAGTATGTGCTGCAGCTCGACCGCGACCCAAGCCTTTGGGAATGTCCTTCGCGTCGTCCTGGGCGCAAACTGGCGAAGCCACGAGCCCCGAGTGCCGACAGCTCACAGAGACGCAGACCCCAGCAGCCTATGCAGCAGAAAGGCCCCTCAACTGTTGATTCTCTCCCGGACCGGAACCCAGCAACGCGACCTTCGAGACCCTGGGATCAAGCAAGGCATTGCAGAACGCACGCTAACACATCACACAACTACATGTCACGATATTTCTTCCAAGTGTCTGCCCCTACGATGCCCCAGAGCTCGCCACCCAAAGACCACGGATAGCTCCTTGGCAAAAACAGAGGCCCATGCACTTGGCCAGGCACGGAAAAAACACATGCAACTTTTTGCAGCCCACAGGTCTATGAAAGCTGGGGTTGTGGACAAACCTGTTAAATTCGGGAAGTCGCCTGGTGGATGGCCCCCTTCTGGCAGCTCGGAATTTTATGGTCAAATGCCTGGCAAAGGGCCGCACGGGCCTACGGCGCACGGGCATGCCCCCGAAAAAAAAGCTCCACTCTTGGCTGGGACACAGCGGTGTCTGACGCGTGCATGTCCATCTCCGGGTTTTGAAGAAAGACCGTTGGCGCTGATACACAAAACGAAGACACCGTTTGAACATTTAGGAACGCACAAGCCTACGGAACATGGAGCCCCGCGCACCTACAGTGCAATCGTACGCTTGAAATCGTCCAGTTGGAAGAGGGGAAGCCGCGAGCAATGTATCTGGCCTCATTATTGCACAAGGATCAAAGTCATCCTTAAGTGGTGGGTTAAAGGGAACCCATTTTCCGACTTTGATAACCCCCAGAAAGAGTCAAAGTAATGACTTCTGTGTAATTATCCCCTTGGTCTTTGCCAACCCGTGACCCGCAGCTGGGAGGATTTTTCTCAAACTTGCAACAGGGCGGAGCTCGATGTTTCGGAGCTCGATGTTTGAGCTGCCCTCGTATATTCGTCCCAGCGGCTCACCGCACACCGAGGTGAGTATGTCACACCAGCTGGCGAATGGAACCTAGCGCATTTTTTGTTTCGAGCCGCTTGCTCAAATCATTCAAGTTGCTAGCCCGCCTTGCCAGTCCTCCTCTCGTCGCATTTGCGGAAGTCATCCTCAGCATCGGATGCTTTGGTGGCTAGGTGCTGCAGGTGCCTTTGCCTGAATTGCCTGAAGCGGCCTAGCACATTGGCGGCGAAAACACCACTTGAATAGATTAATAGAGTGGCATGCCAATGTGAAGCTACATCCTTCCAACATATGGAACTCAGTCATTGCCAAAGTCACAGTCTGTTTGTTTGTTTGTTTGCTGCAGCGGCTGCCCTCCACATAGAGCACAGCAATGCATGGCCCCCGTAGGGCAGAGTTTTACAATTGCATGATGGCACATCTACTTGCATACCTCACCTCACCTTTCCAAAAACAAGAGACCCTGAATGAGCACAAGCAAGCTCATTTTTTTTAATTATAAAAAAAACAAAAATCGGGCTCTTTCTTCACCCCCCAGAAAACGGGTGCACTTCTCCGCTCCCAGGTCCGTCCAAGGCCCCAGCCCAGAGCTCCGGGCGCAGCTCCACCACTCGGCCAGCCATGCGGTGCAGGATGGCCCGCTCCTGGAGGCTGAGGCTCCGGATGCGAATGGGTGAGTCGGTGAGTCGAGTCGGGCGGAGTCCAACTTTCTCCAAGCTTTGGACAAATGGGTGTGGCTAACTTTGTGAGACTCTCTGAGAGAGAGAGAGAGGAAATTAAGGAAATTAAGAAGAGAGGGCGTGAAACAATTTTTCAAGAGCCGGAAAGGTGGGCCAAAAAGACTGGCCCCAAAAAAGCGAGCAAAAGGGCAGCCGCCGATGCAAGAAGTTGCTGGCCTCAGCGGCGTGCGGCCTAAACTTGCATTCTCCCTCGCGCAGCCTGTCCTGAAGTTGCCCCACCTTCTGGAGGTCCTTTCAGAGATGCTGAGACACATTATTGAAACAAGGCCTTAAAAAAGAGGGGTCAACAGCAGGACGAAGGAATCCGATTAAAGGGCCGTTGCCGTTTTTTTTCTTTGCTTTTCAGCTCGGGGAATGCGTGGCATCAATGTGAGCAGGACCCGCTCTCTACAACAGAATCTGCCATCACACCGGACAAACAAGGGCAACATAACCATGGCCTGTCTCGACGGCATTCTGTCCAGGGCAGCTTTAACACGTGTCCTCGGATGCTCTTGCTGCTCCTGCTTCTTCCAGTGCCTCATGCTGTCAAGCGAACGAAGTCGGGCCAGCCAGCCAAATGCAACCGTACGGTTCGAGCGATCCACCCCCCATTCCCCACCCCCCTAACTCCCCCAGCCCCCACACCCCCGAGCGACGCCAACCACCCCTCCAAGCGACTGAGGCCATTGCAGTGCGGCGCGCTGCAATGTCTGGCAGCTGAGAAATTTCCAAGAGCCTGGGCTTTGTCTCATGGCGGACGTGGAAAGTGGTCGAATTTCGTTATCCCCTTTAAAAAGGCAGCACGGGGCGGCATCACAAATGTTTGGGCAGCAAAGAGACCTGATTCCCTTTGGCAACTTTCTCCCCAAGAAAATACAAGAGGGTCAGGCTCCGGGATGCCTGTTACTGAGCAAAGTCTCTCTCTTTGCTCTGCAAATATCACCCGCCAAAAATGGAAACTCGCTTTTGAACCGTCCAGTTGAGGAGACAAGTAAAACCACAAAGGTGGGAAATTTAGACGGAGAACCGTGTGCAACGCAAGTGCTCGCAGATTGAGGCCTGAGCTTTCCCTGCTCTAACGCAGGTGCATAGTGCTCCTGTCCGGCGCCAAAGGGGTTGGTATGAAGAACCCGGCATACCAAACACATCATACATCTGAAAGGTTTGCAGTGCAAGATATCTAGGGCTGTGGTATTGGAATGCCATGGTTGAACATGATTGCAAGGATCTGAAACAAGGGTTTTGCACAACTTACCGTATACAGCCTCTGGGTGGCACGGGCTCGCCTGGGTCAACGGCGTATTCGGAAACTAAACTTGCAGATTTAGCAACGGGCACCCGGCAACTAGGACTTGGCAGCTGGCGAAGCCGGATTTGGCAACCAGAATCTAGACGCTAAACCGGAAGGATTCGGAAACTTACTTGGATTCGGCAACTGAAAAGGCTGGATCCGGCAACTCGGCTAGCAAATCTGGAAACAGCAGGATTTGGGAAACGCTGGGAGCTGCAACTGGGATTCGGCACCCAGGATTTGGCAACTAAGCGGCAGGATTCGGAAAGTTGGATTCGGCAGCAAAGACAACTGGGAGTTGGAAACTGGTTTGACCATCCCGCTTGCTGACGCGGGAAGAATAGCTGCTGAATCGCAGCTGCCGCGTCACAGCTGTAAGGACGTGTCCGAAGGCTGTCACTCACATCCTTCAAACTTCAAAGCCATCCATCTCCTGCGCGAAGGCCCGCTGCGTCACCAGTAGTCCTCTCTGCGCGCCACCACGTCATCAGCACCAGCAAAGGTTTAGAGGGCCCGGAAACGTCCTACCTTGAGCGCCTTGAGTGTGTGTTGAAGCTTGCGGACCAAAGGAGTCTTGCCGTTGGAGTTGGCTGCCAATTGAACTGACGCTTTTCAAATAGAGCCAGGATCGTAGAGTCCTTGGCATCCGTTGCGCGGTCGCCTTCTGCACCAACCAGCTTGCAGCGTGCCTGCGCCGTCGTGGATGTGAAGGCTCCTTTCCATGATGAAGCACCCCGCGTTCCCGCCCTTGTGCTTTGCGCCCACCTCCACAACGCGGCAAGTGTGCCCGGCAAGATGTTCTTTGCTTCCTCTGGCGTTTGCCTTTACAAAGCCCTGAAGATCTTCCTGGCTGCTTCGCGAGTGCTTGCCTGTCGCCGAAGAGGTCTGCCAGGCGAGCGAGCTGTCTTGCCGCGATGCTTGGTAAGGCGCTCACGCTTTCCTTGGTGGAGTTGGTCACCCCCATGACCAGCGGGTTGCCAAACGACATGGGTTCCAAACCCTGTCAGGTCGCCCTCCATTTTCTGCCGGTGTATGTCGTGAGGTTGTCAGCGCCTGAGTGTTGATGGACCCTTGTGATACGAGTAAGTAGCTGCTTGGCGGTAGGTTGGTGCGAAGTCTCGCCACCAACGCCTTCGCCTCCTTGCTGATCGTAGGACTGATGTTCTACAAGAGCGGCCCCCGCCTGAGGAAGATCTCGTTCACTCCCTCCGGTTGCTGAACCAAAATGCGGCGGTCCGAACCTCGTTCTTCACTGTTCGCGTAGAGAATTGCCGTGCCTCGTTTTGTGGCAATGCCCGGGCTTCTGGTTAACCTGACCAATTCCCAGGCGACACGCCTGGAGACAGAATGGCAAAGTTTGCGCCCGCAACCCTGACTAGGCTTTGACGGCGCTGTTCTGGAACATTTTAGGCCGCTGCCCCTGCCTCCACGCCCGGTGCATCAACTGTGCCACCGGCGCTTGCCACTTGGGAATTTTAGGCTCTCTGCTCATCCTGCAAGTTCCAGGATGTGGATCGCAAGGTGGCCAAACCAAGATTCACACCCAAGTTCGCTGAAAAAGGCATGTCTGTTTCGGAGGTCCACAACGCAACTTAACTTGGACAACATAGACAAGCGCCAAGAGTGCTAACGTCTGCCGAAGGGGTCGCATCACATCTGTCTCGCCGAGGGCAGAGGGCGCACAGGCGTGTGTGTGCGTGTGTGGTGGTTTGTCTGCGAGGAACTGAAACTCCTTTATGACGGAGAAGGGACTGCACTGTTTCAAGCGCAGGTGGGTGGCAAGCCAAAACTTCCCGCTTGTGTGCGTGCTGTGTCAACAACCGGTAACCTGCAGCGTCGCTGACTGCCGCTTGACGCGTTGCCGCTTGGGCTCCATGATTCCCGAAGTCCCTGAGCGATGCCCCATCATGTCCGGGACAGTCTCGGAACAAAGCCCGGCGCGTAGAAGTCCACGCTCCAGCGTCACAGCGACTCTTGCCCAAGAGCCGTGAGCCTCCCGAGCCCGCGTCGCAGGCCAGCTTGCATGTTCATTCCACCCTGTTCAGCCCTCTTGCAATTAGCAGCTCACGCGCGCACGTAGTGCTTTTCCTGCGTGTCTCGCGGTGTTCTCGAGCCGGCGCAGGCTGGAATGCGGATGAAGTCCGCCCCATCCTGGCATAGATGCCGTGGATGTCTCACGCCAGGAGTCTTCATTCTGCTACGTCCCAAACTCCGGCCCCAGCCAGTTCTCGTCGCGGCCAAACATCTCGATCAATTGCAGTACATCGGGCGACCATGACTGATGGCAATGTCCCCATTTGGCAGTTCAACATGGTAGCAGGGGCATGGGCCAAGACTTTCGGCATCAGGTTTTCGAGCTCCCCCTCGTTCAACACCCTCAACTCTGGGTTGCTTGTTCAACCCTTGCTGTGTTTAGGGTGTGCGCAGTTTCTTTTTGCTTGGCTGCCCTTAAGCTAAAAAATGAAACCCTTGAAAACAATTGTAGCAGAGTTTCTTCGTCGCGAGTCACCTACACATTGGCGCTCTGAGAAAAACGAACATTCTCATCAGGTCCCAGAAATCGGGCTGGAAGTCGGGTGCACAGGGTGCTCAGGCACTCCCCGCTCTATTTGGATTCCCTTCAGCAGGAGCTGCGCCGTGGCAGTCGCCGCCAGCTGACTTGATTTTGAGGCGCCTGTGTGTGCCCACCCCTGTTCCTAAGGGAATGCCGCTGGGTGGATTGGAGTCAGGTGACACTTTCTGGAATCTCCTTTGCTATCGGTGTGTCGGTTGGGCCTCGCAGTCACACGCAATTCGTGCTCAGTGCGCAATGTCCAAGTGCGGATTGGTGGCTGTAGCTTCCTTTCTTTTGCTATCGCCCCAACAAATGTGGGAAGAGTGCAAGGGGCCAAGGAGGAAAAATGCGAGCCTTGGCCAACGAAGGCCTCGCATTTTTCCGGTGAAACGTGCCTGCTTGGCAGTGCCTGTGCGTTATCATACGCAGCGGGGGCATGCTTTCCACCCCCACAGTCTGGTGTCTGAAGTCAATTGGTGAAGGGACCTTTGACGTTTACCGTTTAACCAAAAAAAGATGTCGTTTAGGCCTCTGACAGCTTGGGCTTTTGCACCTTAGCGAAAGGAGCGACCAGGACCAACCCGCAGCCATTAAGTGAAACCCGCTTTGATGTTGAAGTGGGGTCGTTTAGGCCTCTGCAGTTCGAAAGTAAGGCTCTCAGAGTAACAAGGCGATGAGAAGCACGTCCCTGCCAGTTTCATTTTGGACCCATCCGGACTTTCAGCGAAGCCGCCGTTGACGTTCTTCAACCAAAAAAAGGTGAAGGGACAGTTTTTCCACAAAATGAGGTCATTTAGGCCTCTGCAATTTGAAAGCTTAGGCTTTCACAGTCAGATGAAGAGAAGCGATGAAACGAACACCACGCGCTGACGGCCTCCTGTTAAGCCCGTGCACAGCCAATCTACGCATGCCACATTTGATTTTCCCCCACAGAACCAGCGAGTCTGTGACGCCGTTGGAAGGGCAGCCAAAATCAATTCCCCAAACCAACTCGGCAAGTCCTTGGCATGCGCACGCAGCTGGGATTGCCGCCCCCCAAGTTTTCACCCAGGTAAGTCCTTGGGCCTTTGCCACGCAGCTGGGATTGCCAACCCGTTTTAAGGACTGACCGATAACTGAGAAGGCATGGAGGCAGAAAGGCTGACCACTGTCCTCAGAGACAGTTGGGAGACCAGTCAGTGTGTGTGTGTGTGTGTCTGTGTGTGCGTGCGTGCGCGCGTGCCTGTGTGTGTGTGTGTGTCTGCGCCTGTGTGCGCCTGTGTGCGCCTGTGTGCGCCTGTGTGCGCCTGTGTGCGCCTGTGTGCGCCTGTGTGCGCCTGTGTGTGCGTGCGTGCGTGCGTGCGTGCGTGCGTGCGCGTGCGTGCGCGTGCGCGCGTGCGTGCGTGGCTGTGTGTGTGTGTGTGTGTGGGTGCGTGTGTGTGTGTGTGTGTGTGTGTGTGTGGGTGGGTGTGTGTGTGTGTGTGTGTGGGTGCGTGCGTGCGTGCGTGCGTGCGTGTGTGGCTGTGCCTATGCCTGTGTCAGTGTTTTGGTGTTTGCGTGCTTGGGCTGCTGTGCGCTGATGTTTTTGCGTGATTCGCATTGCTTCTTTTTGGGCATGTGCTGCTGCACCGCAAGGAATGCCGAAACATGCAAGGCAACATGTATACACAAAACTGGCCAGTCAGAATAAGCTGGGTTGACAGTATGCCCTGGCTCACTGAGCGGCCTGATTGGAGCACTTTTCCCCAAGCTGGATGGTCGCGATTAGCAAATGGAGTGAAACGTATTACTGGATGCCATGGACGTCCATGCCAGTTCAAAAACTCCTGCCACGCAAGAACATCTACAGTGTGAGTGAACACTGGGCCTCTGGCAAAATCGCCGGCGATGGCTAATATATGTCCATCAGCCAGTAGGAAGTGTCAACATCAACAATGTGTTTTGTCGTACCTTGCTCATGTCAAGCCCATAGAAAAAGCGCAATCATGGATTTTGTCGATGCCCATCCAATATCTGTATCTAGACGGGCAGGATCACACTTCTATATGTGGGTGGCAAGAAGCGCAACAACTGTGCCGGAAAAGGGTACTTCACCGAAGAAGCCCCACGCACAGAAAGGGCTTGAGTTGCGCAGCTGACTCGACCAACCTCTGCAACCAAAGCCCTTGAAACCTACACTGACTTGTCTGTGTGTGCGTGTGTGGTGTGTGTGTGTGGTGTGCGTCTTTGTGTGGCGCGTGTGAATGTGCCTTTTTCAGGTGCCTGTCGTGCAATCGCATCCCATATTGATTTTTCGATTGCACACCCAAGAAACAAAATGCGCATGAACCATTATCATTAACAGTGCATATCGGTAGTCTTTGAAGCCAGTTCATACACCCCCCTACTCCAAATACCCACGTGTTTTAGGGCATGTTTGAAAAACCAGGTGTTGCATAGGAAATACCTCCCTTTTTTGGTCAAGGCTTGACATCAAAAAATACACAGTGGGTGTTGGCGTAGGGGGTCTAACAAGCTCTGCGCCCACAAGCCACAGCAGGCGCAGCGCCTGAAATCTTCCACACTCAACACATGGTGGATGCACCGACAGAAGGCGTGGGAACGTGAGTCACTGAAAAAAATGCTGGGCGCTGTCTATCCACAGCCGCGGACTTCTCGCTCTGAATACTTCATATTGGCTTGGCTGTCAGGTCACAACCATGGGTGTCCTTTTCGTAAAACAGATGGCCCTAAATCGAATCAACCCATCTGAGCCAGTGCCATCCTGTTCTAACAAAAATTGAACGATCAAAAGGACATCTATGGTCACAACTCGAAAATGATCGACCCTTCCCGCAACATCCAAGAAGCCACCGTGTCATCCGATCCAAGATATCCGGGTTCAACCCGAATAGGTGAGCATGCGCTTGCTCCTGGTTCAGCTAACCCGGGAAGCTGAACGGGGAGGTGTGAGCATGTCGAACCCGCCGGGGCCGCTGGCTCTTGGGCGTACGTGCGAGCAGGCAAACTCTCGATGTAGTGCTTGAGCATGTCATCACTGACCTGCCAAAGGCTTCCCTGAAGTCAAACCAAGCCCCAACGCGTTTCCTGGCCCCACTGGCTTTTGGCGAGCTGGGCGAAGAAACTGGAAATGGACTAAGCTCTGAGAAAACGAGCTCTAACAGAAAACGGCGGAGGCCTTGCGTTTCCACAAATGCGCGTGCGCAGTCCCGAGCGCGCAAAGCCTTGGAAGGATACAACGCGCAACCGGTACTCAGGACACCCCTGTGTGCGAACATGCTTACTTGCCCGGGTTGAAGCAACCAAGGTGGACTGGTGTGCAAGTTGCTGAATTGAAAGAAGGCCATTCAACAAAAACAAACAATACCTCAGTCCGTGAAAAAAAACATTTCCCACGTACCCCTACCCTGTTCACAATGCGTGCATGACGTGCGTCAGCTGCTCCTTGCTTGTGTCAACAATCAATGCGTGATCAAAACTGCCACCAAAATGTGGACATGGCGCTTCGGTCTATTGAAAAACATAATGCAAATAATAACTGGAACCTCCAGAAAGGTGCAGCCAAGCAAAGTTGAAGAAATGCTCCATTTGTCTTGCCAACAAACAACAGCACCCCAACCCCAAATCGTTGTTGTTGTTTTTCTTGTTTCTTCTTTTTCTTCCTCGTTTTTTCCAGGACGTTTCCAACTGCGCTTGCGCAACCCTCTGCGGACTCTCGGGCTGCCAACCATCAGTAACACTCGCAGCTTTCCAAAGCAGCCATGAAATGGTGAACCCTCTCTCTGGCCAACAATCAGAAACTAGTGTTTTCTAAATGATGGGAAGCAAGGAATATGCGCCAAAAAGAAGCTCAGGTTATCTTAGAGGATTCCGGTGCCTTCAATGAACGGTTCCTGACTCTGCCATTGCGAGCGGAAACGGTGAATCTCCACGTTTGGCTTCCGGTCCGGTGAAGTCCCGCGCGTCTACGCATCAATGGTGCGCCGGTGTATCTTTGCCTGTTGGCTGGAGATATGCTTCTGGGTAGGTGTCTGGGGAGTGGGTGGAGCGGACAGTGGGCGGGGGGTGAGCGGATGTGGCCGAGGTCTTGGGTGGCTGCGACGCGGTTGGTGGCTGGGTCTGGCCTTATGGCAGCATGCCGTGAGAAAAGGAACCCGCGAAGCTGCAAAGCAATAGGTCGTGGAAACTGCCGCCTGCAACGATCATGAAAACAGTATGGCTAATTCATGTCGGTGCGCCAACTCTCTGCAGGCCAAATCCAAGGGCACGGGGTTGCCGTTGGAAAATACAGAGGGAAGCTGCTCATAGGAGCTCAGCTGGCCTCAAATGCAAGACCAGCACATGATCAGCAAATGACAATCACAAAAGAACAATCAAACAAGTTAGCAATAGTTTATTGCATCTTGCCGGGACGCACACAAAAATAACCAACAGCAAAACTGCTTATGACTCATGGCAACAGCGGCTACATTTGGCACAAAAATGCGCCAGGTTGGCCGCCAATCCATGGTGAATGGCTTCGCGCACACCCACAATGCCACGTCGACGGCTACCTGACACGGGCTATGCCCTTGCAACAAACATGTTCACAGTGCCGCCGTGTGCCGCCCATCAACCCAAACCAATCCTCATTAAGTGGGATGCTCTTCTCAACATGGTAAATAAAATGTTTTCACAATTCCCAAGAATGCAAGGAAACGAGTCCCTTGTCACAAAGAGCTTCGATTTTCGTTCACGCCTGCCAATCCGCAGAACGTCTGGAAACACGCAGAGCATGCTGCAAAGCTGGTGAAATTCACAACGGCCAGCTTTGGCCAGGGGAGGTGCACGAAGTCATAAGGACATTGGCAGCCGCTGTAGCCACAACAACCTGGGGTCGCACTGTATGCTTGTGAGCCCAGTTGCCATGCAAGCTACATTTTTCTCAGGATACTTACGTGTTCGGGCCGAACCTTTCTGATTTCAATCGGCGAGTACTGCAAACAAAGCTAACCCATGCAAACTGTGCCAATGCCGGCCAAAGGCAGTTCAGCACTGTTAGGAATTCCTGCTGAGTCATTCTGTGCGCCAGCTTGAACAGCAAAGCCGTGGTGGTCCGTGGCATGTTCGTGCCCATTGCTCGCTCCCCTCGGTCCACCAACATGGATTCTAGGCAGCTGGGCGACGAGAGTCACAAGGACCAGTGAAATGGCTGCGCAGTGCAACGTCCACGAAGCATGGCATCACTCAGTACCATTCAACACTTCAGTGCAAGCACTGCACATATGTTCGCTCAAGCCGCACTTCCAAGCCTCCAAGCGATGGACTGTCCAATGGCTTTCATGAAAGGACAGCAGCAAGAGGAGTGTAGCAGTGCATAAGCATGCCGAATCGGCTGGTCAACCGCCGAATCGGATCGAATCCGCTTCGGCTTCCTCGAAGCGTGCCACAAGGCGGCTGCTCTCTCCGTTGTACCGGAGCTCCAGCAGGCAGACACCACCCTGAAACAACTTGGTTGCATGCTCACGTGGCAAAACTAAGCACTTGGTCAATCCTCACGACCGCTGCAACAAGCTTCAGATACCAACCCTTGGGGCTTTTGGACTCAATAACAGTCCGAACATGCCCGAAAGTAGCTGACAAATGGCTCTGCCTTGTTCCCTGAAGTGCCACAGTAGTTGCTGGCGCTGAAGAGGGTGTACACGAGTCCGAGGTGGTGAGTGCTGAAGCCGCGCTTGCCCTGCGAAACAAATGGATAGCCAATGGGCCAAGGTGCTGTGCCTGCCATACTTTGATCGACACTTGGCTGCAAATCTCCCTGGCCCTAACTTGAACATCTAGGCTCTCCTCCGGCAGCTGGTGTGAGCGAATGATCCACTTCAGACCTGCAAATCGAGTCTCTGAATGCCACCAAGAGCATTGTATACGCAAGTGCTGAAGGCATTGAAAGGGACCAACAGCAGGGACCTACAAATGGGTGTCAAAATTTACGCTTTCTGGAGCATTGCGAACGGCCATAGTAACGGGCCTTGGAAAAAGTAGGGCAAGGTGGCTTAGTCACTGGGCATCTTGGTGCTGAGTGTGCAAGTTGAGTGTGCAAGTGGTCATCCTTGCCATGCGCCCATACTGGGCTTGCAGCCTGTGCGTTTCAGGAAGGATGCGGTCAAGTCCGGGCCCCACCTAAGCTCCCGGTCGCTCGATTGCCAACTCTTCCCACGAGTTGGCGGATTGCAATTCGTTTTCCTGGGAGTATGAAATCCCCAGATGTAGGAAGCCGAGACAACTCTTTGAGGCAGGTCTCTTTGAGAGACGTAGCACCCTTGGGCCACCGCTTGATGCCTGCCCCTCGGGGGTTGGCTTCCCAGCCCAACTTCTCTTGTGGATCGGACCAGAGCAGGTCTTGGAAGACCTGCAGTACAGCTTTCCGAGCGCCCGAGCTAACACCAAAACTGGCAGAGCACATCTGACGAGTTTTTTTTCGCAGGCAGCTCCAAAATCAAAATGCTTGAGACTGCGTTGCTCGGCGGAATGGTGCAAACGGTCATTGACGGTGCTCAATGGGAATTCCGGCTCAAACTGTCAAAGCAGCAAGGCCACCATGCCAGCCTGCTCCTCCAAGCATAGCGGGTAGCATCCTGAGGCAAAAGAAAGCAAAGTCTAAGTTTGGCTTTCCAAATGATATGCCAATACATGGCCACGAATTCTAATAAGGGACCCTTTGATGGACATCATTTCGGTGGGGGTTTATGTCCGCCAATCACTTTTGAGGTGGTTCCCTATTAAAATTCATGGCCACATCACAACTGGAATTTGCTGACAACGTCTGCACAATGTGACAGCTGCGTGATCCGCGGTTGAGGCCGCACGTTAAGCAAATTAACGCCGTCCTCCGTGCGGGCAGCTAACGATGCCTGCATCGATGTCCCCGACAAAGGGCAGTGACAGGTTAGATTTGGCGTTTCGGGCCTCAGCATCGCAAGGCCACGGTTCTTACAATGAGCGATCCCTCCGGTACACCTCTCCAACAGTGAAGCAAGACTCTTTGTGATCCGGATTTCCGCCCCTCCATGCCGAACTCCATGTTTTCTGGCATGCAAAGTCCACTTGGTCTGCAAAACGAGCACCTGAAATCCCGCATCTCGGTGCCACGCCAACCCACCATGAACGACAAACAGCTCCTGCCAGGCCGAGCCAACAGTAAAGAGCACAGCCAATTCCCACCGGAACAATTTGCCTCACGCCAGCCTTCTGCACCACAGCAGCCAAGGGCAGCATCTTGTAAATGGCCTCGAACTTCATGAAAACTCCTGCGCCGCCGCATGCTAATTATCCTCCCTCCAATCACGGAAGTGGACACGGGGCTTCCCCAAAAGGAAAGTAGTCTTCCAAAACACTACTGTCAGCTTCCACGATTGCCGGAGGGAGGGTATATTTTTTTCCAAACAGAGTCACAGAACATCCGACTCGGCGGGCCATCGCTGGCCAGCTACCAGGGCACCTCCCGTGTACTTCTGCAGCACCTCCTCGTGGAAGCCACCACCTTCTTCGCTGGAGAGCTTATTCATTTCCTCATCCTGCCAGAAACAGAAAAGCTTGCCGCGCAACTAAGCAGGTCTGGTGGGGCCGATGGAAGTCAAGGCTTGACTGGCGACTTGCTGGAAGGTGACAAAGCCTAAGCGTTAGCGCGCAAGCAAGCAAGCAGCCAGCGCTGCCTACAGCCATTCCCATGGCCAAATGCAGCACAAGCTGGCCCTGTGGAACCCATGCGCTGAACACATCACTTGTGTCATGCCTTGCGGGCCTTGGGGGCATGGGGGGCCTGTTGACCCGAAAGGGGGGCGAATTGCGATTCTTCTCACTCCTTTCACCTTGTGCGTCAAATCGAACTGACATAGCATCTCGCCGCGTAAATCTTGACTTTTAGAAAGAAGGTATTTTAAACCCTCATGCCGCGTTGTGCCAAGCGGTGTTGGCCCTTTCGGGCTTCAGGTTGTTTTCTCGGGCCCCGGGTAACGAGCCAGGGCCCACTACGAGAAGAGTGGCCATGCCCAAGGGCTCGCTTTTCAGCTCACCGACATGCTTAGGCTTACTGCAAACATCACTGCTGAACAAGGGAATAGGACGGCTTTTATGACCGGATACGCCAAACAAAACCGTAGCAACCGCGTGCTGCGTTAGTGACCTCCGCAGCTGGGCAATAGCAACATCCCCAGCTAACAGGTGTCACTCCCAACGGAATAGTGAAGCTCTATGTGAAAGACCCCCCGCAGAAAACAGTCAACAAAACCCAACACCAGTTCAAAACATGACTTACAACCTGCACGATGTGTACAGAGGCGACTGTGAATCACTGTGAGCGACAAAGCAAGCAAAGCAAAGCAGCGCAAAGCAAAGCAAAGGGAGCCAAACAGAGCAAAGCGGGCATAAACGTAGCATAACCAGCACATTGATATATGGGTGTTGCTCAAAATTTAAGAGCCAGGTGACCGCAGGTTTCGACTTTTCCATTTACCAGGGTTTTATTTTGGGCCTCTATTTTTGAGCCCCACCATGAACTTTTGTGCGATGTGCAAACTGCAATGGCCAGCAGAGCGCAGAGATTCTGGTGATTCTTCTGACCAGAAAGGAGAAATTGCTAAAGCCTGCTGCGCACAATGGTCATGAAATCACAGCTCTGGCCCTGTTACAAACAAAGTGAAGCGCGTATATACGAAGGAAGGTAAGGCTGGGCAGGGCCCTTATTTCGGCGACGTCCTCTTTCGGTCACGAGTCCTGTGATTTATGCTGCGCTAATAAGCCCAATTGTTAGTAATATCATTGGGGGACGGCGCTTTCGGTGACAGCCCTTTCGCTGACATTGAGCGCTCGTAATGCACCCCAGCGGGAGTTGTCAAGCAAATAAACGGGCCGTTGGGTAGCCAACTCGATGCTGCGGGTGTTGGGTATCAAGACGCTCAGTTCCGCCTGGCGCATAGTTCTCTTCTGCTTACTTATGTTCTTGTCAATCACTGCGCCCGTGGTTTCCAACGTGCCTTGTCCGAGGGTGATTTTCCCGTTGAGTCTGCAATTAGACTCATTGTTTCTTTTCTGTTGTCAAAAGTATCTGTGAGCTATGTACCTAGACAGCTTGCATCATGTTTTCTGGGAACCGTGGAACCATCAAGACACTTGATTTGAGCGTGTCTTCGGTTCATAGGTACGTTCACGCGCTGGTCAACATTTAACTCCCTGTTTTAGTTCTCTGACTCT